TTGACCCCCGTTAAATTACCAGATACCAGGTATTCGAGGATGAAGGAGAGACCGGGCGGAAACGGGAGGAAAAAAGACGGCCGGGAGTAAAAACGCGATGAAAAAAGGGAATAAACGGAGGAACAGGAAGAGGGAACCCGGTCGTTCATCGACATTCGATGAAATTCCACAGCCGCGCGCTCACTTAGCGCGCCACGGTTATAAGTCACTCGCTCGTGTGTGGTCGATTAAGCGGCCGGGCCGAAGGTAAAGGGAAACGAGCCTTAAGATTGCATTTATTACCCGTGAATTCCGCAACCACCCCCTGATGGCGGGCTGGTACCGGGCCGAAATTGTCTTGGCGATGACCCAACCGGGCCGCCGCTCGAAAACGAGAAGATAATCGAGTCCACGCGAAGCGAGAGGAGAAGTTGAACGCTGCCGTGAGGAAAAGACAAGGTTCCACTGCGATCGTTTTCGAGAAGGAAGAATTTCTCTGCTTTCTCCTCTTTTCCTCTCTCTCTCTCTCCCTCTCTCTCTCTCTCTCTCTTGGCGATTCTACAGACCTGTTTTCAAGAAACGTCTCGATTCTCGGTGGGCCTTTTTTCTCTCTCTCCGACACGGGTAATATACCATTCCTTACACGGGCCACGAGACGAAATCGCGGATGGAAGGATGCTTCCCTGTCCTTTGATCATCCACGGTTCAAGTGAATCGCAGATGAAACCGTCTTGAGTGCTCGTTGCGCGTGCATGAACGATTCATTGCATCCTTTCGAATAATCGCCTATTTACGTGCTGTGTTTCTTACAGAGTAAGAGAAATCGAGTAACCGTACCTTTTCGGACATTCGAAGGCACTTGTCTGGGTAGATGGGATTCCTGCAGGCCGGGTGCAATCCTCGCGATCTCTGAAAAATTAAAGATAAAAATAATTAACATAAATACTCTTGATCTGGAATTAAACTTAAGTACATTTGACATAAAACGCCTCGTATAATATGGAGTTATTAGAAAAGGAAAACATTTCTCGTGGTAACGGTTATACCATTCCCCCCTGCATCCCGTGGCGCAAAAGCAACCTGTCCAGGCCAGACGAACAGCGAGCGAAACTCGCGGGAAGTTTTACAGACGACAAGCGGTCCTGGCGATAAAAGTACAGCGGAACCGCGACGTTGTTCGAATTTATCGTTTGGTCGGGCACGGAACGATAAAATCGCTTCGCTTCAATATCTATTTCGCAGCTTCATTATCGCGCTCGCAGCGTCGCCCCCGAGACGAGGCGGCTCTAATTTGCGCGGAGCGCGCCGATGTCCCTAGGGGCAGCGCCATTACAACTCCTCGGCAAGCAATTGCGGACCTTTGCCCAGAGCTCTTTAATAAAACGTTAATAATTTACGTAAAATATAAAGCAATTAACGGGCGAGCATGGCGGGGTGGAAAAAACGGAGAGGAAGGAACGGGGGAGAAAAAGGAAGAGGCGAACGATGTCTCTCGCTGAGGCCCTTCCCCGCTTGGTCCCTTTGGGATTCCCCGGAATTTACCGTCCGTGAATCCGAAGCTCGCCGTTTTCGGCGCGGATAAAGATGCCTAATTAGGAAGCTAGCGGCGGCTTCGAATATTAATAAACGATTTTATACGCCTGTTAACGAACAGGCGTTCTGCCACGACCGATAGGAAACCCTCGAGCTGTTTTTACCCAGCGACGCCATTGCACTTGCAGGATTAGGCTCTGCTGAGGGAAGACGCTGCAAGTTGTCGGTGCTAACGTCGGAACTTGGCTCCAGCCGAGTGTTCCCAGATCCGGAGTTTGCCCGATACTTGGTTTAAATTAACGTCTTACGTTTGCACGCGTAATTGAAAACGCGCCAACGGTGCGGTATAAACGGACCACCGTGTATAGGACGAGTTCAGTAACCGGGGAATGTAGAATTAAGAAACAAATTGCGCAGGGTAATTCTGAACTATTTATCTCACCCTTTATACCTCGGGGATTTAATACAAGGCGTAGGGATAATTTTCATATCGATATTATACCTCGGACTTGGCTTAAAAAATATGTTGAAAATTTTTATACGACGAAATAGAAAGAGCCGAAGATTTTCCGGGAAATATGGATAAATATACATATGTACATTTCTGTATTTCTTTTATTATAAGGATCACGAAGGTACTATGGATATTATCGGTATAATACTTGTTGCGAATCTGCGACTTATGGCAAATTCGTCATCTATTTAGGCAAATAGTAATCAGGATAATTAGACAGTGGGGGGAAGCAAGACCATTGCTCACGCCATTAGGCGTAACGAGTGAGTCAGCCTGCAAACGCGAGAAAGATTACGCGTATTTAAGTGTATTAAGAATATATCATGCGCCGTACAACCGTGTAATTTATTACCACACGTACGATTTCTACCGATCCCTTAACAGGAATCGCTGGCACACCTCGTGTATTATAATTTGTTCCACAGGTATGATCGCGGAAACTACTAGTTCCATCTCCGCGACTACTCGTTGCATCTCCCATAGAGAAAGATACTCGCTTAGTATTTATTTTCCCTCGAGTCGAGCCACTCGACTTAAACGACCCAGGACAAGCTCCATTGACTCGACGTAATCAAAGGAGAACGGGCCCGGCGAGAAAGCGTTTTCCCGCCGCTAGTAAATCAATCCTTTCCACTGTCGTCTGCCGGCAAAGGGCGCTCTGTCGTAAGTACCGAGCACGGGGCCAAAGGGGAGCCTCCAATTTGCGTTGAACCTCGACGATCGGGGCCGCCTATCCCCGTGGGTCGTGCGATTCGAAGCTCGTTGCCGGCGACGAGATCACCGCCGCGACGCCACGCGACGAGCCGAGATGAAAAGGCAATTAGCCGAATGAAAATGTAACACGAGACCGCACGTGACTACGAAACACGCGGGGGGTTGAACCGTGCCGTTCGGTTCGGCCCCCTCCCACTCGACGCCCATGGGGCGGAGGGGTGCGTGCGTGCGTGCGTGCAGCGTAATTGTCACTTTGTCAACGCGCTCCTCCTGACCCGAGGGCTTTTCGTCGGGCGTGAGAGAGAGTCACTTCTTCTAATTGACGCGAAGATTCGTCGTGCAAGATGCCAAGTGCCCCGGGGGTGGCGCCTGCACACGCCACGGATTACGGCGAGTGCCCTTCAGCGGGTGTCTCGATGTCCGTGCCCACTGAATTTAAATTTGCGCGAGTCTCGCGGCAGATGCATCGGTAGATTTGTATCTCTCGCGTATTCGGAATGTTATCTGGTACTAAGATAACAGTGCCCAATAACAACGCTGTTTTTTTATCTGTAATCTCCAATAGGTGACTCTAGTAGAGCTTACTTTCCTGAATGCGTAATCGAGATTGACTTATCAATCACAGTTTGAAAAAAATTGGAGTTTCGCTAAAAATTTATTATTAATAAGAAATTGTTTACAACGTGAAGTTATAATAAAACAGAAAAAATCAATAAATTATTGGCTATTATTTGAATTTATAGCGTACTTGTGTCAAAATGTACGTACAATTTGCAAACAGTATATAAATTATTACACTGATTGTTAATAACAAATTAATATTGTTAATAACAAACTGTTCGCAACGTATATTTATAGTGAAAGTGAAAAAATTAATAAATTATTGGCTATAAGAGCGTAAAATTAATAATTAATAAAACCAGGAAAGTTCGAAAATTTTCTATCGGGGTGGGGGGCTCGGTCGATCGGAGACTATATAAGGGACGCCGCTCCGATGCACGAGTCATTTGCCAGTTTGGCATCGGGAGTGTGACATATAAATTTTTCCGTGTGCGCGAGTGGGAATGGGTCCGAAGTGAGGTAGGGGCTAGCCACCACACCCACACCCCATCCCCTTAAACAATTTACTAATAATTTTTTTTATTTTCAGCTATTAATTATTTTTTTCTTTCAGATTTTAATCATTTTTTATTTTTCCAGGTTTTAATTATTTTTTTTTATTTCAGCTGTTATTTCTTCGTTTTTATTTATCTTTATTTGAACATTCGGATATTTCGTATAATATTCGAATGTATCATCGTTGGGTTATTTATGTCTCATCGCTGGGTTGTTCGTGTCACATCGTTGGGTTGATCGTTCCATTTAGACTATTTCTGTAGTTTCCTCTTCCTAATCCGTTTCCTTTCAGGTTTTGTTTTTGGATTTTATATTTATTTGACGATTCGAATATTTCGTATAACATTCGAACGTCTCATCGTTGGGTTCGTTAATTACCATCGTTGGGTTATTTATGTCTCACCATTGGATTATTTATTCCATTTCTTTGGTCTTAATGGTTTATATTCGTTTGGCTTTTATTATGTGTTAATAATCTCTTAATAATCTGTTTCAGCTTTTTAGGTTCTTCAAGACATCATTGGACGACGCGGGATGCGTGTGCGTTTAGACCTAAATAGACCTAAGTAGTTATAAGATAAGATAGAAGCCTAGACTAAGTCTCATGTGCGCGCTATTCGTTCAAAGGTAAGCCACCTAATTTGGAGCGAAATATATAAATCCTCTTATTCCCCTCGTTTAGCAAACAGAACATAATTGTTCTCGCGATAGTCGTGATTGTTCTTAAGTACCGACTAGCCTACGCGACGTGCTCTCGTGTACTCGATAAGTACATGCTTCGTAAGCCATCCTCACGACTCGTCTCCGACACTCATTTCCAGTCACTGTCAATCTCGTGATGCATCGGGTTCCAGGGTGACCCCCTCGAATCAGTGCGTCTTCTGACCTCGACCGGGCGGTCCGCTGCCTAAGTCGTACGCGACTGGGGCTCGGGCACATGCTGGCTGACGGACTAGTACCATCTACGGTTAGACCACAGGGATGATTAAGTTCTACCCCGTGTGGCTGGGATGCGAAGTGTCTGTCTTGGCCGGCAACCGCCTAGCTGGGCCCTCCTGTTGACACTAGAAGTTTCATTGGTTCAGGGACTATCCTTGGTCCACGTGTAAGTCTTGGCGAGTGCGACAGTGACTGGAATTGAGCTAGGCCCGATCGGGAGGGGGCCGAGGTATGAAGTTGTCTCTGTACACGGGAGTACATCGCCTAGGCTAGTCGGTCTTTCGAATAATCGCGAACTCGTTCGGGCGCGTCGCGATTTTCTATTAGCTCGCGTGTTTGATATTTCGTTCCCTATTTTTATGGGAACTTGAAAATATGTTAGCGTTGCGACAGTAGAGTTTCAGTATACCGAACCGAAACTCCTTTTGTAAGACACGAAATATAATAAAGTGTCAGTAGAGTCATTTTAACTTAATTCGCTGCAAGTTAGATTAGGGTACCTTTGATACAGGTAGCGCCAGCAGGCTGCGCCACTAGGGCGCATGTTGGGTCTCGATGCGTAGCTACCTCCGCGTGGTGAGACCTGGTAATTGGTATCGTTTTCCAAAGAGAAATCTTTGGAAAACGATACCAAGCTAAGAGCTACGCACTGAAGTTGAAGTATTAGTTATAAGTTATATATAAGTCAGTAATCAGTTTAAGATAGTTCATATCTATTGTAAATTTCCAAAGTTTCCTTGGAACCTACCTGTAATATTTTGTCGTTGTTGTTAGACTGCTACACTTGGTACTGGGATTAAGCGTAGGTACGGCACTGTCGTACAAAGTTGGCTACCTAAAAAATTTGGCAAATGGTATGTTTCTCATACTCGAATATTTCAAGAGCCACGTTTTCGTCTGGAATCGAAAGATCCGACGAGAGTTTGGTGGAAGGGGAAGAAGAAAAACGGAGAATACATTTCTTACCCCCGAAACACTCGCCAGTCACGTTCCATCTCGACTGAGTGTCCAAGAACAAGCACGATTTGAATCCCTCTCAGACAGTTGGCTGCCGTCGACTTGCCGACAGGAAATCCCGTGGAAACGCTTGACA